CTTTCCCTAAATCTATCCCATAATTTCTTAATCCCTCTGAGTCGCCTCCTGTGTCTGGTTGCACTGCTCCATCCAGGACATCACTGGCTGGACATTGCCTCTTCTCTGGCAGCCCTGACCACAGTCCTAAAGTCATCAGAGCATAGTCCCCAAAGCTGGGATATACTGGGCCTCATTAACCTATGGGTAGTGGTTATGAGTGAGGACTCTGGATCCAAATTGCCTAGGTTCAAACTCCTGGTTCTGCCACCTACTTAGCTCTCTCATCTAAGACTGTTGACTTAACACATCTATAAATAGGGGTATATAAAATGGATAATTATATGTACCTCATAGGATTGTCGTGAGAATCAAATGAGGAATTATGGGCTTAAAATTATGCCTGGACCATAGTAAGTGCTTTGTAAATATCTGTTAAATAAATAAATAGCCTTGTTTATAAGAGCAGCAAGCATATCATATCCCCTGTGAAGGGAGTTCACTGATACCTGATCCATTCCTGGCTCACCCACCTATGCTTTTCTTCCAGAGCTGGGCCTCCAGAAGAGAGGATGCTGTCTGGTGCTGGGCTACATGGCCAAGGACAAATTTCGGAGAATAAATGAAGGTAAGTGAGAACTCGTCCACCCTCTCAAGGGTAATGTGGAGGAAGGAAGCTGTGCCCTACAACCATGGTACCAAAAAAGAGAACCTGGGACATCTCAGAAAGGACAGTAGGCAGATCAGTTTGATTTCCGTGAAGCTATTCATATAGTAACATGGGGAGGAGTGACTAATGCCTAAAACACAGTATGCTGATTCATAAGCATTTTTGTTTATGCTGTCTTTCCTCCTCCCTCTGTGTCCCCTCCTTCTCTTCCTCTCTCTCCCCTACCTTTCATTTCCCACTTATCCAGGCAGCATGATTCAATCTGCTTCTATTATCTTTTCTAATCCAGACCTCTCTATCTTTCTCCTCAATCATTCCCATTTCTTAAATGCCTTCTGAATAAACAGCACCTTATAGGGCACTTGGAAAAATACTAAAGAAGAATAAGGCAGAATTTTTATTCTCAAAGAACTAACACTTGGAAACCTGCTCTCTTTCTCAGCTCCATTGACCCTATGTCTTCCTCTTACTCATGAGCCATTCTGCCTTCCTCTTGCACTGAGTCTTTCCTCTGAGGCTGGACTAGGCCGCACAAAGCTTGGGAAAGGCATTGACAGTGACATGGAGGCTGGGATGTGAAAGGAGTGCTGTCACTGATGGGCCTGTTGTAATAAAGAGCCAATCCCCTCATCCCCAGCCATCTGTCTCTGTGCAGCTAATAAGCCTCTCCATCAGATGCCACAGACTGTTTGTCAGGATTCAAAAGTAGGTAAACAATGGCTGGGGATGCCATTTATTCATTAAAGTCAGACAAATGAAGCCCTGGCTTCCCACCAGCCCAGCTTGTCATGAGCTGGGCCCCTCCCCTCCCAAAGCCTTGGGCCCCATTCCAGGCATGGGGGTGGCAGCTCACCTGTACCATCTCTATTCCAATAGTTATACCATAGCATAATTCCCGTGCCCTCTTCCTATGCTCTTCAGCTGGCTCTCTTTCTAACCCACAGTTCATGACATCCACATTCCCCTGTGCTCCCCAGGCCTAATGCTTTGCCAGCTATAGGTTTGTCACTAGCACCCATCATGGTGACAGTTTGACAAGAAGTAAGCCAGCCCAATTAAGCACAGGAGTACCAGCTCCCCCATTTTGCAGCTCATCTGCGTAAGAAGGCAGCTGCAGCAAGAAGCCACTTCCCATTTGTGAGAGCCCCAGGGTTGAGCAAAGCCGGGGCTGGGGGCTGCAATTTCTGCATCCTGCCAGTCAGTCTTCGTTTCCTGACTTTTTTCTTTCTCAGCCTAGCCCTCCACTCCCAACACAGCCTTCATGAGAGTGCTAGGCAGTAACTTCTAATTTGTGGGAACTGACAGGATGCCTCTGTCCATGGTGCTGAATAGACACATTCTCTTGCTGGCGATGCTCATTAGAGAAACTGAAACAAGGTTCACAGGGACTAGGGGAGGCAAAAAGTCAGGAGCTGGACTGGATTTGAAACCTCAAGCCCTGAGTGTCTGACTCAAGTACAAGGGCATTGACTCTAGATCCTGGGGACCTACAAAGATTCATATCACATGGCTCATGAACATAATTCACTCCCCTCACCTTTCTTTCACAAGTGACTAAGGTCGGAGCCGGGGAGGAGAGGGAGCGGGGCGCGGGGATGGTCATACTAGTCATCTCAGGCTGCTCTAACAAAACACCACAGACTGGGTAGTTTAAACAACAGAAATATATTTTCTCACAGTTCTGGAGACTGGAAGTCCAAGATCAGGGCGCCGGCATGGTCAGGTTCTTATGAGAGCTCTCTTCTTGGCCTGCAGATGGCCCCCCTCTCACTGTGTCCTCACATAGCAGGAAGAGAGCAAGCCCTCTGGTGCCTCTTCTTATAAGGATAACAATCCTATTGGATCAGGGCCCTACTTATATGACCTCATTAAACCTTCGTTACTTCTGTAAAGGTCCTATCTCCAAATACTCTCACATTGGGGGGTTGGGGCTTCAACATATGAATTGAGAGAGAGGGGGTCACAATTCAATCCATAACAAGGGGTCCAAATGAATTTTCCATAGCAGAAAGGTACAATGATAATACTCTGAACCAGGAATTAGAAAGATGGTGAAATAAAATAAAATAAAATAAAATAAAATAAAATAAAATAAAATAAAATAAAATAAAATAAAATAAAATAAAATAAAATAAAATAAAATATTAAATTAAATTAAAAGCATTAAATAGAGAAGCATTTCTTAGATATTGTTTAAGTAAAGAAGGAAGGAAAGGAGTTGAGGAGGACTGAAAACTCAGAAACAAGACCAGGACCTCATTACCTCTGAGGACAGTTAGCCTTACTTTGTGCAACAACTAAGCTAAAACAGCATTTTAACAGTTTTTTTCTTTTGAAAATGAGAAGATGCCAGAACATGTCTATTCTCTCCAAACACATACACTCCGCACAAATGAGTTATTCTTTCAATTGGTTATGCTTGACTAGGTTAAGAATGATAGATCCCAGGTGCCTTACCTCAAGTTAAACCCTCCCCTTAGTAAAGGCTAATTGAGAATCAAGCAAGGTATTCAGAAAGAGGGAGGCAGTAGAGGCATCAACAATGGCCCAGAGTAGCCAAGGTAATAGTGCAGCTAACTCCTTACTCCTCCCTCCCTCTCTGCATGTGGTTCTCATCCCTCTCATATACTGCAATACACACATGCACATACTCACACACACACACACACAGTAGCTGCTGCTGCTTCTGGGTGAAGGAGATGAGAGGGTGGTAAGCAAGCTAAGCCACCACGTGTGAATGGTTACAAATATCAACTAACAAGGAGAAGACAGGATAGGGGGCAGGGTGAGACAGTGGGGCAAAATGAGAGATGCACAAGGTGGGTCAACTTTGGCTCTGGACAGGTGGAGAAGAGAAAGGGACCTGGAAGGATGGGGAAGGCTCCTCTGCTCACACTCCAGTCAGTCTTGCTACCCCAAGTGCCACATTATGCATTTTTTCTTTTTCTGAAGCTCACATGCCCAAACTCCAACATGTCTAAACAACGGCATCAGCGAGCATGGAGAGCTATTTTATGGTTTATAATTATCTTGTACAAATACCAAAAATAATTATAACTCCCACATATTAATAATTAAACTGGAATAGCAGCCATGACGTAGCTCAAGAAACAGAAATCTCTGTCCATGCCACACCATTTACCTTGATATAAATTGAACAATTGGTAAATATTAAAAAAAAAAAATTTTCTCCCTGCTGCTGGAATTAGTGAGATATTGGAACAATTAGCTGATTCTTCCAGTAAAGATAAGGTAGTGATCATTATGTTTCCAATTTAGAATAACTATAATAAACTTATTTGTGCTATATTAAAGCATATTTGTTCTGTTTAACAGTAAATAATAGGTGTCTATCATCTTTGGAGAAGTGGTCGCCTATTTCATTTGTTTCCTTGTTAATCTGGTATCTTTTCATTTTCTTCTCCTTCTATTCCCCACTCCTCACTACATTTCCCAAAAATAACAGTTTGAAAAGAAGCAAGAGAAAAATAATGAATGAACAGGAGCTTTATAGAGCGGGGGTTTATCATAAGCTAGAGGAATCGCAATTGATGTCGTTAAACTACACAAAGCAATAAAGAGAAAATACTATTCAAAGATCATTTAAGGAGGCATGTGATAGTCAATGAGAGTTGCTCTATTTGGGAATGCTTAATAGCCTCTTGGATAGAATTTGCTACATCTGCAGGAATAGAGGTGGTTAGTTACATGTGGTGTGTCTGGTGTGTGTGTGTGTGTGTGTGTTCTTTCTTATTTAGACTCAACATATCTGCAGCATCCGATGGAGAAATGGACAAAAATTAATGAAGGGCAGACAAGAAAGGAGAAAATAAAGATAGACTAGGCATAAGAATATTCGATTTGTTTGACATAATAGTCTTCATGTGATTAAGTACATGGTACTTTAAATAGAAACTGCTGGAAGTAGGTTACTTATTTATTCGTCAAACATTTGTTGAATACCTACCAGAGAAAAATAAAACTAATTTTATAATAAGTTCCGAGCATCGTTCTAAACATCAGGGCTAGAAAAGTAAGATATAGCCTCTGCCCTCAAGGAGTTCATGATAAAAACACACAGGTTCATCTCAGCATTATTGTCATCTCCACAGAGAGATCTAAATTAGATATCCCTCTTCCCCCACCATTATGCTCCACTGGGGCAACCAGCCTATTCATTTTGTGGCACTTACCCTAGCTGGTAATTATTTATTAGACCGTCTGCCCCACCTAAAGAGTTAGCAAAGATCCCACTCCTTCCTTTCGTTCCCTAGCCCTTAGCTGAATGTCTCTCACTAGGGAATACTCAGTCAAGTTTAATTTAAATAATTAATTAGTGCCATGACTGACAATGGAGGAATGCACAAAGTTGCTCACAGGTGTAAGGTGGGTCTTGCAAAGATGCTCCTCAGGCAGAGCAAACTGAGGTAGAGCATTCCACCAATGAGTCTCCACATCACCAGGGATTCCGTAAGTCTTGCCTTTCAGCCTCTCCTCCAAGTCCAGTACTATAGCTCCTCCTGGGAGGCCTGGACTCAGGTCAGCGGAACAGGAGGACTAGGAGGGGAGGCCCCCAGAAGTGGCCCCCTTCCTTTCCACACCGGCTCTCCTTCCTCACCCCATGCACTGCTGGGCTATATTCTCAGGACATAGAGCTCTAGGCAGATACGTCACATCAGATATACAAAGGGAATTGTTCCCGCTGTTCCCTTATCCCACACCCCCAGCCCACACAGCACACCACCATGACCACCACCAATCATTCCTTTCCTTTCCCGGGCTCTTCCAATTACCCATTCTTCCTGGAGATCCCAGAACCGCTCATCCTCTCAATGCAAATTGCTTGCCCAAGGCTGATCCTACTTATAGGGAAATAGAAAGCTTTCCACATTATATCTGATGAGGGAGGGGTTCTGCCTGCCTCTGAAAAACCTCCCCTACTTGAGAACAGTAAATAA